CGGCAGACTCGGAGAGAAGCCCAGAAGGAGCTGCAGGAGAAGGTCAGGCTGGGCCTGATGCCACCACCGGAGCCCAAAGGTAAACGCCGGCTACGGCACGCGGAGCTCTGGGCTAACACGGGCCACAAGCCATCAAACCAGTGGCCCAGACGTGGTTGGGAATGCCACCGGCAGCACAGCCTCTCCGGGATAGCCCGGATCTGCCTTGGCGTGATCCGATCTCCACCCATGCGGTCGGTTCAGGAGCCTACCAGTGTGCCCAGTGGTTCTGGGCATCACCGTTCCGGCAAACTGGTGTCCGACCAGAGCCTCACAGCTCCTCTCCCATTCCCTTTGCAGTAAGGATTTCCAACTTGATGCGAGTGCTGGGCACAGAAGCTGTTCAGGACCCGACGAAAGTCGAAGCTCACGTTAGAGCGCAGATGGCGAAGAGGCAGAAGTAGGTGGCACGTTGCACCTTTGCTTTTAATTTTGGGTCGGTTTTAGGTGGATTTAGCGCTGGCGCCGCGTTCGTTCGGAGAGAACAAACCCCTGAACGGACGCAGCGAGGCAGAAGCAGTGGGATTTCCCACGTGTCGCTCTCGTAGCCTGTTGCAGCTGCCTTGAGTGGCCCCTCGCCGAGGCCCGGGGGGAGCGGGGTCTCGGTGATCCGCTCTTTCCGCTGGATCGTGGCCTCGTGCCCTGTATTAAACGAGTTTCCTGCCATGATGATGATGATGATGGCCATCCCAGTTGTGATCATGAACGTTTTCAGGGAAGAGGCTGAGGACGAGTTTGACCAGTGACTGGATTTAAAAAGCCAAACGTGCTCTTAGTTCAGGCAGAAATCCGGGATCTGCGGAACGTATTGCGCGCTCGGGAAGAGGAGGATGCGTTTTGCTGCCGGGGCGGACACCCCAAGGCTGTGTTTTTCCTTATTGCTGCGCTCTCTCTTTGCATCCAGAGCTCACGAAGAAGCAAACGCTGCGAGAAAGCTCACGGCGGAACAGCGAAAAGCCAAAAAGGTTAAAAAGCTGAAAGAAGACGTTTCGCAGGGAGTTCACATAGCCGTGTACAGGTGCGTGCCGCGCCGGGCACGTGGGTGCCGGCTCGGTAACAACGAGGTGTCAGTGAAGCCCCTGAGGAGCTGGAGGAGGAAGCACTGGACCCAGTGGAGGCAGTTGGGGAGCTCTTCGGGCTGGTGATGATAGTTCTGGTTTTTCCTTTTTATCCTCAGGGTCAGAAACTTGAGCAATCCAGCAAAAAAATTCAAAATCGAGGCGAACGCCGGCCAGCTGTACTTAACAGGCGTGGTGGTTCTACACAAAGATGTCAACGTGGTGGTGGTAGAAGGAGGTGAGGACTTCCGAGGCAGGCTTTCGGGCACGGGGATGGTCCAAAAGCTTTCCTCTGGCAAAAATTAACCGTGGAAATTGTTGACTGAGGGTTACGGAAGGATGAGGAAGTAAGGAGGCCATTGAAAACTCTCTTAATTACGGCGCTCTGCCGAAGGGCGCGGGAAAGGCTCGGCCACCCCACGGGCGTTCGCGCCGGCTCAGCCCGGCTGCGTTTACTTGCTGTGCCTGGTCGGCCGGGGGGTGTTTGTGGGGGGCGTTTGGCTCCTGCTGTTTTTTAGAACCTTTTCAAAACTGAAGGTTGAAGGACTTTAGTGACCCTGGAATGTCGATTGTTCCCCAGGCCCGAAAGCACAGAAGAAATTCAAACGGCTTATGCTTCATCGAATAAAGTGGGACGAGCAAACGTCGAACACAAAGGGAGAGGGTAAGTGTAAAACTGCGGAGAGGCGGCGAAGCGGCTCCTCCTCCGGCTTTGGGACTAAAATCAGCTTTATTGGTTGTTTTTATGGAATCCTGGAATGGTTTGGGTTGGAAAGGACCTCAGAGACCATCCCATTCCAGCCCCCTGCCATGGGCAGGGACACCCTCCACTACACCAGGCTCCCCAAAGCCCCATCCAACCTGGCCTTGGACACTGCCAGGGATGGGGCAGCCACAGCTTCTCTGGGCAACCTGGCCCAGTGCCTCACCACCCTCAGAGGGAAGAATTTCTTCCTTAGATCCCATCTAAATTTCCCTTCTTCCAGTTTAAAGCCATTGCCCCGTGTCCTGTCACTCCACACCCGTGTCCAAAGCCCCTCTCCAGCTTTCCTGTAGCCCCTTTAGGCACTGGGAGGTGCTGGAAGGTCTCCCCGGAGCCTTCTCTTCTCCAGGCTGAACAGCCCCAACTCTCTCAGCCTGTCTCCAGAGCAGAGGTGCTCCAGCCCTTGGAGCATCTCCGTGGCCTCCTCTGACCCCGCTCCAGCAGCTCCATGTCCTTGTGTTGGGGATTCCAGAGCTGAACGCAGTATTCCAGTATTTTTGTTTCTTTTTTTTTTTTTTTTTCAGATGATGATGAGTCCGACGAGGAGTCCGTGAAGAAGACAAACAAATGCTCTCTGGTTTGGGAGGTGAGTCGCAGGGGTAGTTCACCACAGGGGCGCTCAGGCTGGAGGGGAGCGAACCCCATCCTGATGTTCCGAGGCTTCGGATCGCACGCATGCCGGCTGCTCTGGCTCTTCCTGTAGCAGCACCGGGAGCGTCCGCTCTCATAGCCCTCACCCCATGACAAAAAATGTTTATTCCTGGGTGCTCCGGCTCACTCGGAGCCGCGTTTCCCTTGACTTTTCCCCGGAGACGGGTGGGAAAACGTCCCTTTCCCCCCCCGGCAGGGCACGGCGAAGGACCGCAGCTTCGGCGAGATGAAATTTAAGCAGTGCCCCACGGAGAACATGGCCCGCGAGCACTTCAAGAAGCACGGCGCCGAGCACTACTGG